ATATCTCTGTGCGGTGTGGGGTTTTCTGGATTTATGCCTGGAGGTCGGATGGCTGGATCATATGGCATTCTTTTTAGAAATATGCAAACTGATTTCAAAATGACTATATTGATTTCCCCTCTGCCATCAGAGTTCTTCTCTTTCCACCTCCTTCCCAGCGTCTGTTGTCAGATTTCCTGATGGCAGCCGTTCTGACTGGGGTGCGGTGCTGTCTCACGGGAGTTTTAATTTATGTTTCCTGCTAGCTAGGGATATCAAACACTTCTAAAAAATAGTTGTTGGCCATTTATGTTTTTTCTTTTATTCTTTCTTTTCAATTCTCTCTTCTTTTTTGAGAGTCATTTATTCAGTCATTCTCCTATTTGTTGGTTGGCAGTTTTACTTCTTTGGTATTTAATTTCCACAATTCTTTGCAAATTCTGCATATCTGCCTCTCATATGCAGGGTATCAGTAAAGATTTTTTTTCCATTCTCTGGCCTGTCTGTTAACTCGGATGTTTCTTTTGTTGAACAGGAGTGGCCATAGCTTTGCCCTTATATTGATGGAAAAGCCACGAAATGGGACGTTACTGTGCAGATTACTGACCAGCTGGCAGCAGAATCATCTTGCTCATTCAGCTTCAACTCTTGGACACGGGTCTGCATCCTGAGCACGGCTCCAGTGCCCCGTTAGCTTTGCTGACCAGGAAGTCCCCATTTATTGCTTTGGGAACAGAGTGTGTGCCTTCTGCTTGTGTAAGAAGAGATACTGCCTGGCCTTGCACACCTTACTGGTCAGCATCTCGTCTTACACAAGCAGAAGGTACACACTCTGTTCCCAAGGCAACATGAGGTGGACGTGGAGGCATATTGAGAAAGAACAGAGCTAGGCTCACCCCAGTGTTCACCAGGAAGTGTTCAGTCTCCTAGAGAAGAGGCTATGTGCAGACTATGCAGCCAACTATATATGAGTTATTTGGAACATCTTTCCAAATCCCAACAAATGGTCTAGTTATGAGTCTGGGGCTCTGAGACTGGAGAAATCAGTATAACACATTCAAAAATTTCAAAATCTAAAATCCTCCAAAATTTAAAACTGTAAGATGCCACAGCGGGAAGTTGCAACCACCCCAGGTGATAAGTTGGCAGCTGCTGTCTGGTTTTGGTAAATAAAGTTTTACTGAAACACAATCACATCTGTTTTGTTGACACTTAGCCTGTGGTTGAGCGGTGTGGCATCATTAAGCCAAAAATATTCACTGTGTAGTCTTTTATACAGAGTTGTTGGTTCCTAATCTTAGAAAACTCCAGAAAACAGACTAAATAAAAGCCAGTCTGAGCCAACAGTAATGATCCCACTTCTGTAGAGAGATGTGGGTGCAGGGAGATTGAAGTGAGTCCGGAATCGGTCTGCTCATGCCTAAAAGACAAATCAATCTAAAAGATTCTGCCCCCCCCCCAAATCCAGTGAGACTCCAAGCTCTACTCAGTATAAGTTTTATGTTAGTCTTTATTCAAAACAACAGACTTAACTACGAAAAAGGCAAAGACCTAGTTTGGGAAGGCCATCACATCTGTAGACAGGAGGTTCCAGCTTCAGTCGCTCAGCTTTGTGAGCGTTTGGAGCAGCGGCTCTCACCCTTCCTAATGCTGTGACCCTATAATACAGTTCCTCTAGTTGTGGGAACCCCCAACCCTAAAATTATTTTCATGGCTACTTCATAACTTTAGTTTTGTTACTGTTACAAATCATAATATAAATATCTGATATGTAGGCTATCTGATATGGGACCGTGTGAAAGGGTCTTTTGATCCCCAAAGGAGTCGCGGTCCACAGGTTGCTGGTTTAGCGTGTAGTGATCTCCTCGAGTAGACTTTTACCAGCTGAGCAGGGTTGGGATTCAGTTTGGTCCATGCAAAGCCACCTTGCAAACCCTGACATGAAGAACAGATGTTGGTTTCTCGTGGGATTGGGGAGGGGTGATGTGAAATTTCAGATTCACGTTGTGGGGTTTCAAAGGGGGCTTACAGGAAAGCCGGGGAGGAGTCTGGGTGTGCTCATAAATCAACACATTTCAGAACTTAAACAGCGGCATGGTGTTCACAAAAACAACCAAATGTCAAAGGGACTTAAAGTTCAAGGCTGAAATGATGAGAGAAGAGGAGGGGGCGGTGAGAGCGGTGCAAGAAGGACACCAAGATTATGAAAAGGGAGCCAGACCTGGGCAAAGGAAAAAAGCCAGTGTTCCCAGATGGGAATGCGAGGGAGCAGAACGGTGTCCATGTCTCGCGGTCTCTCGCACATGTTACTTCCTTCCTCTGGACTTTCCTCCCACCCCAGCCAACCTCACCCCACCAAACCACCGTTCTTGCTGCGGAGTCTTCAGAACACCTTTGCAGGGACGTCTTCATGGCCGCCTAATCTAACATTTCGCCTAATCTAACATCTCTTGACTAACCCGTGGGTGGGTGACAGGAAGAGGCTGCATGAGCTAGTGGCCCCTGGGCATCCCCACACCGGTGCTGCCCAGGCCATTGCTGCTTTTGTGTTTTATTCACAAATGCATCTGTGGATTTGTGATGCAGAATTGACTTAAATGTACATAGTCCGAATCAAGGTCTTCCTTGGGAAGAGCTGCCTAGAAAGCTTGAATGTTAGCAGACACTTTGTAATGACCTGTCATGTATTGCCACCTTGCACAACACCCTGGGGACACACAGCAGGTGTCCATCAGTGTTGGCTGAAGAAAGGAAGGTGGGCCAATCTCAGCAAAACTTTGCAGAACTTTAGGGGCTACCTGGAGGAGTTGCTATGGCTATTAGAGTTTTGCTGACTAATCCCAGAAGTAATACTGCAAAAGTCTGTGGCTAGAAAAAGACCAGGAGCTGGACATTCTGTCCCCTACACTGCGTGTGCTTAACTACTGTGTAGCATGGCCTGGCCCACAGTTCTGTTCAATACTGTGAATAGAGATCCTCCTGTCTTCACAATAGCTTGAGCCCTTCAAAGGGTTGTAGTATACTCACGGATTAATTCCATCTATTGTTAATATGAACTTCCGTTTAGTCAGACCTGAGATGTGGGAACCTTTTTATTTACACGTTCTTCATTGGATTCACCTAGTTTTTGGTTAAAAAATAAAAAAGGGGGGGGGGAAAGAGACCAAAAAACAAAACTCAGCCAGATGGTAGTGGTGCATGCCTTTAATGCCAGCACTCGGGAAACAGAGGCGGGTGGATATTTGAGTTTGAGGTCAGCCTGGTCTATAGAGCGAGTTCCAAGACAGCCAGGGCTACATAGAAAATCCCTACTTGAAAATAAAGAAAAAAAAAAGAAAATCAAAACCATCACACACATCAGTATGGAGTGTGCTACTCCACACCTAAAACTAAAAAGCAAAATTGTTCTTCTCTAAGTCATGAGGCATTTCTGGAGAACACAGGGATGGTACTCTACCAAAGCATATCTCATTAAAAACACCCTCACTGTGGGCTTTGTTCTGTTTGTGTATTTGCTGTGTTGTTTACCGCTCTGGCATCTCTCTTCACATTCGTTGGAATACCTGTGGTGCTGCTGACCCTTGCAGCGAGTCTGCAGAGACACCTGGCAGTCTTGCAGTTGCCAGTTGTATATATCTAGCCAGTCCTAGCTACAGAGCCTGGCTCTTGTTCAGGCTTCACTTCTGCTCCTTAGCCTATGCTTTTCAGGAAAATCCAAGACATCCTCTGCTTGATTTAGGTTGAGTGTGGTCCATCTAAAGATCACATTCGCGCGCGCGCACACACACACACACACACACACACACACACACACACACACTGTAATTGAGTCAGAAACAGACATGTGACTCCATTTTGACCAGTGAAATGCCAGGAAAGGTCTCTTAAATTTGTGTGAGTGCGTGCCCGCATATCCAGGATGCTGGATCTCCAGGAGGTGGAGTTCAGGCAGTTGTGAACTGCCCCATGTGGATGCTGGGAGCAGAAGTTGGGTCCTCTGGAAAAGCAGCAGCAAGTGCTCTTAACTGTTGAGTCCTCTCCCCAGCCCTCAGGAAGGGGGGGAACTACCAAATCTCTCTGTGGGAATAGTCCCATAAGAAACAGCACGAATAGCTTCCCACGGTTACACCACTGGCAGCTGGCTTATCTACAGGAAGCTGTAGCTGAGAGCTTCATCATAATTCTTACAGACATTGTGCAGTGTCAAACACTGCAGCAAACACAAAGGCTCCCCACATTTTCATCTCCCTGCCAAAGCTAAATGGCTGGGTGGCAAGTGTGCGGTCTCCAGGAATGCAGAAGATGCCATGAGCATCACGGTAGCCATGTGCCATTGATTGGGGACTCAGAAGCTACGAGACCAGCAGAAAGACTCACTCACAACTGTAAAAAGCTCTGGCATTTTTTACTTGTGTGCTTCTTGACCACCAGGTCAGTGCTTCAGTGGCTCAGGCCCATCCTGATTTGCTCACCATCCCCCCGTCACTACACCCCTTCGGGTTTTAATTCTTCCTTTTCTCTCCTGCCCCCGCAGGTCAAGTTGGAAGACAGTTAAATTTAAGACTATGAATGAAAGCTAAATAAGAATTGCTTAAAAACCAATAAAATGCATAGATTTCTCTAAGTGTTGGTTAACTGGCATACATAAAACAAAGAAGATTACTTAAAATCAGGATTTAATAGAACGACATAATACACAATCATATATATATATATATATATATATATATATATATATATATATACCTCTCCAGGGACCGGAGAGGTGGCTGGGTGGCTAAGAATGATACTGGAGGCTGGAGAGATGGCTCAGCAGTTAAGAATACTGGTTGTTCTTCCAGAGGATCTGGGTCTAATTTCCAACACCCAAAAGTTGGCTCATACCCATTTGTAACTTCAGCTCCAAGCAATCTAACATTTTCTTCTGGCTTCTACTGGTGCCAGGCTTGCACAAACATACATGTAGGCAAAATATCCATACACATAAAAAGAATTTTTTTAAAAAAAAAATGTGGGTACTGGTGCTCGCTTCGGCAGCACATACACTAAAATTGAAATGTTACAGAGAAAATTAGCATGCCCCTGTGCAAGGATGAAATGCAAATTCATGAAGCATTCCATATTTTTATTGGTATATAAAATAAAAAACATTGTTTTAATTTTTTTAAAATTAAAAAATGTCTTCTGTTCTGGCCAAGGACTGGAGCCCAGCCCCCTGTAACTCCAGCCCTGGGGAGATCAGATGCTTCTGGTCTCCTTGGTTACCTGCACACACACACACACACACACACACACACACACACACACACACATGCACGCATGCACATATGCACACACGCACACTTAGAAATAAATTTTAAACATAGAAGAGTCCATAACAAAGTTAAAGCATTCAACTTGTGGAAGGAAAAACATGGCAATGTTAACCACCTTTAGGATTTCTCAGAAAAACAAGGTCGAGTAAGAAAACACAATAGAATGTATATTCCCACGATCTACAAGAGGTCAAAGACGTTGTTGAAACGACATAAAAATGATCAGTGCCACATGAGTCAGTAAAGGAAATGAAAAGAATCCAAGCGAAGATGTGCTGCTGGGAAGCAGTTCAGATAGGCTGGTCCTCGGGGAGCACACGATCTCTGCACAGATCACACAGGCTGGTCCTCGGGGAGCACACGATCTCTGCACAGATCACACAGGCTGGTCCTCGGGGAGCACACGATCTCTGCACAGATCACACAGGCTGATTCCCAGGGAGCACACGATCTCTGCAGAGATCACACCGACTGACCCACAGGGAGAACATGATCTCTGCAGTTACAGTTGAAGGAAGGAACCAAGTGAGGTATCATGGATGTGACCACAGGAAGCAGCCAACTCACCTGGCCTTGGAGGACAAAAAGAAGAAACTGCCCTTCTTAATTAACAGCTGGGATGAGAACCTTGCAGTGAACCTCTCTGCATATGGGAAGCAGCTCCCTTGGTTGAAAGCCCAGCAGTCAGAAGATGCCAGATGATAGGAGCTGAGGATGGCTGAGGCAGTGTGACCAGAGTGATTTTGAGAACTTTGAAGAAAACTGCATACTGCTATTGGATGAAGAAAACATTCCTCAGGGTGTGGAAATACAACATCCCAACAGTTCAACAGGTTCTGTTGTAAGTTCCTAGGACATCGTCCACCATTATGGAGTCATCGTTCCTCAGATTTAGGCAGTCTCGTTTGAATACGATACTACCTTACAACTAAACCCTAAAATCATCTCTGGCAGTATTTGTTCCAAGAAATGAAGAGAAAAGAAGAAATGTGTTACAGACGTGCTTTACGCTTGTGTCCACACATGCTATGAACATGTGAGGCGTACTCAATAGTCTTCCTTCTTAGACCAGTCATGAGCCTGTTCTGTGGTTGACACTTGTAACTTCCTCCACTGGCGTTCTGTGGACTCTGCCCTCAGTGTGTCCTCAGCTTTTTGAGTTTCTCCACGCAGCGACTTCTCCCTCAGCTCCTCTGGGATCTAGATCCTCAATGACCCTGCATCTCTCCTTCTCGCAATGGTTTTCCTTTCACGTTCATAAGATAGGAAGTAAGGAGGGACAGCCCAGAGACTCCCCCGGGTTTCAGGCGGGCATCTTTTGCTCTCAATGTGTGGCAATAGCTCAATTTCTTCTTGTGACCGATCACATGACCTGCCCCATGCAGGAGGCAATCCGCTTCTGCTATGGATATGAGTGATCCCACAGGGCGAACTCCCCCTCTCCCAGTCAATGGGGACACCACTGGAGTCCCTCGTGAGACATCGCTCCCTTCAAAGCAAGGTTTCATAAAGGAATTTGGGTTCAAGACAAGAGGAAACAGACGTTCTTCAAGGTGCTGTTAGGGCCAACACTCAGATTTACGACCCAGTAAGACTAGCCACACCGTGACTAGTGGCCCCATCGCCTGAGGAACAGCATTGGCCTCTCTGAGCATCTTGGGTGTAGAGGAGACGTCCAGGTTGCACTATGCTCTACCCATGGCCATAAAAGGGTCTTTCCAGAAGAGCAATGTTGTACTTTCCAGGAGCATGTGAAAACTGTCATCCTGGTATTGTGAACTGGGTTGGGGTGGGGCGGTTGAAGCTGCAGTGCAGCACCCTGAGTCAAGTCTGCCTGATTTCGTAATCATCTGTGTGGGGGCAAGGAGACTGTGACACCAGGGAGGGCAAGCGCTGTACCACTGCATATACTGTGCAGAGCCCTCTCCGGAGCCGGGCTGTGCTCCACCTTCCCCCTACCCTGGCCCATCACACTCCTCCTCCTTGACTACATGTTTTAAAGAACATATACAGATGGTGGCTGCAAAACAAGGACATAGTTTTTTTGTGTGGTTCCTGGCACTCCTGCCATTATTTTATGATCGCATTTCACCGCTTATGTGTTCATATTCTGCTTTTGCAAAGATGAAAACAAAGACTAAAAAAAGCAGCTTAAAAGGGACTTGGGGGGGGGGGGGGCCCATGAGCCTATATCCCTGAAGAGAAAACATTAGTCATCCCTTGATTTTCACTTTTCTTTCAATGAATCAAAACGCCATGGCATCTTACTGGGCAGAAGTGTCCTTTGCCCTGCTTGCTGCTGAGCTTGTAGAAAAGGAGGAAATCACACACCTGCCTTGTAGTCTGCATAGCTCCCCAAAATAAACAATGCAGGTGTTCCCAGTAACACACTAACACCAGCAAATACGGAATACCCCAGGCTGCAGTCCGTTAAGACATCCAAAGGCACAATGGGATGGTGTCCGAGGTTACTGAAGGGGTGGGGACATTCTGAGCATTGAAAACATTATTTAAATCTCAGAACGCAGGAGGGGGCTTTCAGTGGCACCAGAGTTTTGAACAAAAACACTGTGCCTGCCCTTTTGCTCTTGACAGACCACGTGCAAGACGCCAGCACTGGCTTCTCTGAGCATCCTGGGTAGAGAGATGGCATCCAGGTCCTGCAGTCAAGGAGGAGGAGTGTGGGGTGGCACGGGGGGAAAGGAGGAGATGTGTTATTTGTGCAGGGTATGCGGCACCAGGCATGTCAGCCATAGAGAAAAAATATGTGCCTGAAAGAACACTGCCCTTCCAGCAGTCTCTGGGCCCTTGGTGTACTCCAACCAACCCTCACAAAGATAAAATTTTGGAAGGGGGAATTGGCTTTCTATTTCCTTTCAAGTAACCATCTGCGATAGCATGGTATGGGTGCCCTTTTAGGAACTAAATTGCCACAATGGCACGGGCTTCAGGGAAACACGTGGAGACCTCATCTGCACGTAAGTGATGAGCTGCCTTGAATCTCAGCAGTCTAAATAATCCAACTTACCCTGGTCCTGGCGTGAGAGGGGAGAATGGAATGCAGTCATATTTCTTATTTATTGTTCCAGGAGAAAATTGTTGTTATAAATACATAGACTTAGGGCTGGCAGGTCAGCCTGCCCTAAAACGTAAGTGGACTTTTTCTAGGCTGCGATGGAATCCCTTTAGTTAGTCCTTAGGAGAAGTGTTAGAATAACCCGCCCCACCCTGCCTTCTCCCTCAGCTCCCACAGCTCCCAAACCTACCAGAGTCCTCCCGAGCCTGTATTTGCTGCTTGGTACCGTGGCCAAATGCTTCGGGATGACCGAGATGTTTTGAAAACACGCTGAGGCTCAATGGGATTTATGATCCCTTGGTTTGCACTCCCTGCCTATTCCATTCCTCTTGCTCAGCCCAGATCTAGTCAGACAGATAAGGCGGTCCTCCCCTCCTAAATCCAGGGATGATGGAGGCCATCCCCTACTCTGGCTCGCGCGTCTCCACCCCTAGTCAAAGCTACAGTTGTTTTCAGGTCAGAGTTCTCAAGCTGAGTTGAAACAAGGCAAAAGCTCCCTGCTGCTGGGCGGGAGGACTCCCGTGCCTTGGGAACTCGCCCTGCAGAGTGGGGATTCTGTTATGGCAACTGGTAGTGGTCGCGGGTTCACAGGGAAACTTCAAGTTTGTCCTGTCACTAAGGAATGTTTCAAACCTTTGTACTCTCTAGTCCTCATTCTTCTTCCAAAGCTCCAGATGAATCCTCTTGCCTCTAAACTACGGTTATTAAGTGCCTCTGCGGGTCTTAATATTAAGTTATTAAGTGCATATGCTCCTCTTTTGATCTGCTGAATTACGGTTTTTATTTAGAGCCACAACAAAGCCAGTGAGTTCCTCAGTAAAAGGAGGTGCCCTTTCATTAACTTTTGATGCTTTCAGACTGAAAATAACGGAGAAAATAACAACCCTTGTTTATTATTGTTGCTTTCATAATAAAAACACTTGACCTCACCAGGATAGGGTCAGGGGTGGGTGATGTTCTCTTTCAACTCTGCAACGGATGCTCTGTCACTGAAGCTATGTCAGGTCTCAGCCAGCGTCCTCCTCCACCTGGAACTGGGAGCCTGGTGAAAACTGGGTCATCTGTGGCCGTGTGTAAGTCAAAGCCACTGTCACCAGGTGCCTCACACTCGCAGAAGCTGCTACTTCCTGCTGTCTGAAAACTGAATAGACCACGTGTCAGGTGGCAGAATGGAGGAAATAAAAAAGATGTCGGGGTCAAGCTCCTAAATTGGAACTTGTCAGGCATTGCTGTGAAACAGTCTTTGTATACCACAAATACGTATTGCTCTCATTGTTAATAAAAAGATGATTGTCCAATGGCTAGGCATGATTTTGGGGGCAGAGAGAATGCTGGAAAGAAGAAGGACAGAGTCAGAGGAGTCACCAGAAGTCACAGAGGAAGCAAGACATGCTGGACGACAGCTAAAGCCACAAGTTTCATGGTAATACATAGATTAATAGAAATGGGTTCATTTAAGTTGTAAGAGCTAGTCAATAATAAGCCTAAGTTATTGGCTGAGCATTTGTAATTAATATTAAGTCTTCGAGTGGTTTGGGAGTGGCTCCCAGGACAGAAAAAACTCCACCTACAGGACATCTTACAAGGTTACTGGCTCAACTTGGAATTCTACTGCTGTACCCAAACTGAAAACGCCAGCAGTCAAGCAAGACTAGACCTGACATTCTTGTTCTATGTGATGTGGAAGGAAAAGAATATAGAATGAAGTCTTGTCCTTTGCAGTAAATGGTTAGAGT